CCTTGCTTAATGATTATACTCAATATTACAACTGCTCCACATGTAAATCCGGCAATCCTCTTTTCTTTTTACAGGTGATCCATGCAATAATAGCTTTTGTCTTTACAATGGTGCTTGTGAGCGTATAGAGTCCTGGCCGTACAGCCGATGTGATTGTACTTTTGGATACGCTGGTTTTAATTGTGGAACCCACATAGGTATGAAACATCATAAAACCTCAATTTACAATGGTGGGTGCAATACAATGTGTTTAGTTCAGTAACACCCCTACCCCACCGATACCTTTCACCACTTTGGTGAAATACCATTGATCTAGAAGGGGTTCCTAACAAGCTATTTACTTGTAACATTTCTGGACTGACCAGAATCCTGTATAATGTGGACTTGAAACAATACTCTTAGTCCCTGGCAGGAACAAAGAGAGAGTGCAAATGTCTGAGTTCATCAAGCTTACAGAGTGATGGACAGTCGGAAAAAAGCATTTCCTGAGCGTAAACTGATAAAGAGCTAATCATTGTTTTGCTAGAACGAGCTATGAATTTCTTGAATGAATTTCTTACCATATCTTCAGCAGTTATTCCATCACCAAAAATAGTCGTTTTTGCAACTTCCTCTACCCAAACCATCATAACACACGACCTTACTATCAAAATCACGTGTCCGTTTTTTCACAGGCTACCCCTGCTCTAGCACTTCCTGTCCATCGGGTTGGACTTGTACGCCCGGAGATGGGTCCAAAGATTTTCATTGTGATTGTAAGTTAGACAAATGCTCTTCTGCAGTAGATAAATTATTCCAATATTAACCTCGGAGGGCTTTTAGTAGAAGAGTTCTCTAGACACATTAATTTCTCTGAGCAAAATTTGTGTCGTGGCATTCCTATTGCAGTTATTTTTTTCTCAACTTTCTTTCCTATTACTTTCCTAAAAGTCCATCACTGAAGAGTCAAAGGAAGATATGTCTGATTCAACAACAAGTAGAAGCTAAAGCTTTTCTGACTGAGCGGTATTCATTAAAACAGGGTTATGTTTGAATAAATAACTGGAAAAAATATATTGAACTCGTCCTTCCATTGAAGGATGATTCAGATTCAAAATAAAACATACCTTTTAGGAAGACACTCGATCATACAATCCCGCGACCAATAACAGACTCTAAACAGCCGAAAGATGTAATGATGTTCAATTTTTTTTTTTTATAATCAGTTCGTAACTGTCAGTCTGATCCATGTCTGAATGGAAGGATTTGCCCACAGGATGTCGACAGACACTTCACATGTAGTTGTCCTGCAGGATTCTTTGGCAATCGCTGTCAACATAAACGAGGAAATCTGAAAAATACCGGAGACCTCTAGATTTAAAGCAATGAACATATACGAATTTAAGTTTTCAGCGAATAGACGTCTCTTTTGCAGTCAATTTTTTCGCATCCTTCTTTGCTGTTACTTTCCTATTAGTCTATCACCGAATAGTCAAAGGAAGATGTGTCTAATTCAACAACAAATAGAAAAAAAAAAGGCTTGTTGCACAAAGATCATAGTGTGAGTACATCGTGGCTGGCGTGGAGTTTCTAACCCCTTTGTGTCTCAGACTGAGAGGTATTCATTGAAACAGGGCTATATTTGAGTGAATAACAGAAAAAATATATACCGAACTCGTCCTTCCATTGGAAGATGATTCAAATTCAGAATAAAACTATTACTGTGAATACAGAAAAGGTAATCTGAATATCGGAGATCTTTATATCTAAAGCAACTAATATATACGAGTTTAAGTTTTCAGTGAATAAACAACTATCAGGTGATCAAAATTTTTTCAAAATCAAAATGATAGACTTTGCAACGTTATCACAGCTGAGGTTATGACATAAAAAAGGGTATATATCTTACGAAGAACGGCTGAAAACCAAAAGAACACGCATGTAAAGGATCTCGCGTGTGGGGGACTGTGTTGCCTAAGTCCACATTGGCAAATTGCTTTTGCATCCTATTGATTTAAAACGTGATGCAGTTTTTTTTATGAAACGAACAAAATCCGTTGGCACAATTAACCTTCGATTATAATTCCACTGGGCTCTCCTCTAGTTGTATATGATACCCAAAAGAACACTATTGACGATGGGGCAGTTTATACCTCAATAATCCTAGTAAGATATTCAGTTAAAATCTCATGATCGAAGTAGTAGCAACCGTGTCTAATTTTTACTTACGAAGGCTTCAGAGGGTTTTTAATTGCTCAATGTTGGCCCGCGTGCCAGTGTTTTGTTTTTCTAGAAATTTTTTTTTTAGGTTTTTCAAAGTCACTAAAAGCTATCAAAAGGCAATAAGCAAGGCTCGGACTATATTCTGCTTTAGTAAATATTAATTAAATGATTTTCGTTATTAAGCCAAGGCTTCGTGAAGGGTGGCGGTCGCCAGTGACAATTTTGCTTTGCCTTTGATTTTCTTCAATTTTCTCCGGTGAAATCTCTCAAATTTTTCACAATTTGTGAAATATGGTCCACCAATTATTTAAACACTGAAAAAATAGGGGTTAGAGAGGCAGTTTCCTCGCTATTTTTAGTTTTGTGTTTTCTTCCTCTGCCTCAAATTTGGTCCTATAAATTGTTTCAATTAATAGGCACTAGAAAGGGTGATTAACATTATTCGAAAGATCCCTGTTTTCTTTGTCGCAAAACAATATTTAATGGAATAGAACCTCATCAAGATCTATATCTGAGCATGCGTAAACGTTCCAATCTGTCGCTATCTGTCACCTTTTAGCAATCTTTCCCACCGTGTTTTCTTTACGGTTGGCCTCTTTTTCAGGTGTAGAAAGCCTAAGAATATTTCGGATGCGGAGGCTGTAAGCCGTAGATTCCACCAAATAAAAACTTTTGGTATTGTGTTGAACTGTTGTTAACACGCCTTTCAGAGAACACTAGTGCAATCGCAGCCGTCATGTTTGTTTGCATGATGACATTTTTAAAGCTCGCGCTATGTTTGCACCCAGATCTCGCGCGGTCAAAAAGCCCTATGGAACTTCCTTAAGCTTGGAATTTGTTTAAAAGCCGTATAAAAAAATAACTAATTTGATAAGATACTTTGTATCTTTACATCATAGCTTTCAAAACTTATGCTTTTTTTTCAACAGATAATGTGTGTTCCGCTAACCCTTGTCTCAATAAAGGAACATGTACACCGAATAATAACACACTGGGTTTTGAATGCAGCTGCCCTTCAGGGTATATTGGATTTAATTGTGGCCTTCCAGCAGGTGACAGAGGTTTCTTAATTGATTAAATTCTGTCCGTTGTCCTAGTTTGTAGGATTTTATACAGGGCAAGAGCGCAATCGATCAATCAGTCGGTTACGTTTCATGGAATTTATCATATTAAACTATTGGTCAGTCAGATTGTTTTTCTGTAAGTCAGTCACTTACTCACCCACTTACCCGCTGGCTAGTTCTATCACTATCGCATTCTCCCCGCCAGTCTTTCGGTTGGTCGGTCGGTTGGTCAGTCAATCAGCCAGTCCTTCAGACAGTCAATCAATCCTTTACTTAATTTACTCACTAATCCTTTTTATCTATAAGGTTCCTTTGCGAACAAATTATAAATAACGTTGCAAATTGTCTTTCTTACACCATGTTTACATGAAAAATAGAGGGCATTACAACTTGATAGTTTGCGATTTACCTCTCGAATTGTAGAGTTGTCGAAGTATATGGTCCGCAATTAAGTAGTGACATATTTCAACAGGCAATCCGTGTTCAGATAACTCTAAACCTTGCAAAAATGGCGGAAACTGTACGCAGGAGAATAATGTCTTAGGATACACATGCAAATGCACATCGGAGTATATTGGGTTTAACTGTGGCTTTCTGAAAGGTGATGCATATTCTAAAAATATATTATATCTTAAAGGAAACCTCAACTAATGGAACATCTTGTCGTTGAATTATTGTAAAATATATTTTATAAAACGAATGTCTTAGCGCCAGAAAAATCGAAACATATATGGACTGCTTTCAAATTGGAATTCTGTGTGTGTTACCATGTTGAATCGTATGAGGAGTGACGATTGCCACTATCATCCTGATGATCTCACTTGGACTTGATAATAATTTTGGGAATAATAGTAGCAACCGTATGAAGTAATATGAGTTAAGCTTTAGCCATTCGGCAAAATTCCATGACGTAGATCGCGATATTTTTCTTTAAGAAAGGAAAGTTGTCTTAAAATCTCATTTACCAATGGGCTCTCCTTATATATGTCAGTCCGTTTTGAATCCAACTTGTGTTAAGGCATGAACTGCAAAACCGCTCCACGCGAAATTTAACCAGTTGGTCCCGCCATTTCTTTTTCACTAATGCTGTGTTTTAACGTCTTCACAGATGATCCTTGTTTTCCTAACCCTTGTCGAAACGGTGGAAATTGCTCAAGAGAAGATGGTCTGCAGGATTTCATTTGCAATTGCACCCTTGGATTTATTGGTAAAAGATGTGAGAGCGAGATTGGTAAGTTTGTCTAAGATGTACTTGTACCACTACGGTGTTAATTATCATTCGGTACCCGTAACTAGCATTGACGATAAGACTGACTGGAATCGTGCCAATTTGGTCCAATTTAATCAAAGTCAAGAGTAACAAAATCGGACGACCACGAAACAGGAGTCCACTTTTGTTAATCACGAGTATGATAACAGAAAAAGGTTCTAGAACACGAGATTCCGTTTATTAAACGATCAAAATCATAAAAAAAAAACATTTGACAAACAAAGCAAAGCATATAACTCAGCGAAATGAATATTTTGATTTGAACCATGAGTGATTTTGAATTGAAAGGGCACGTAGTCTGATTTTCAAACCAAACGCATAATTTTACACAAAAATTGTATAACACGAAGATCAATTAACACTTTATAAAATCCATTTTGAAATCTCAGGATTCAATTGCTCATATACAGGATTTTTTGTTTCCTATAAATAATTATTGATCCAGTACTGACCTGCTTTATAAAAATTTTCCTAAATTTTTCGGCTTTTTGATTTGGTACTTTAAACAAGCCTTGAAATCTGCTCGATTGTTGAGATTTAGTATTAGCTTTCTTTGTGTGAAAAAGATGCGATTTAAATCATAGTCGATATGACGAGAGCCCATCAGGTTGCAAGGATCACAAGTGATTTTAAGATGGCTCTAATATATGCTTTAACTGTGTCAATAATAAAACGCTCGAACATCATTGGAAATAAAAATACCTTATTCGTGGCTTAATTCACTGTCTCAGGTTCAAACAATTAAATTTTCACCTCCACGATTAGAAAGACGTGATCGGACTGGCAGAGCACAACCAACTGTAATGTGCATGTAGCACCTTTCATGGGTAATCAATGTAAACCCTAACATCAGTATGCATATCCGCCACAATGTTCTCTACGCATTTCTTATAGCTATGAACATATGTGATCCAGTGGTAAGACTCTAAGGAGAAATTATATGCTAGTCACTCTTGGTGGTTAAGGGGTTAAGGGCTTTTAAGTCATTTAGACAAATATACTTCCACAATTGGTGAAATTCTTATGAATTGGAAGATGCGAGGATGGATGGAGAAGTATCGTCAATTTGCCTTTAACATCATACTTTGTATTTATGTAGTTCATGGGAATTGGAGTCGCTGGACACCATGGCCGAACTGTAACAAGCCGTGTAATAACGGAACACGAACAAGGAGGCGTGCATGTGATAACCCTAGGCCAGCTTTTGGTGGGGAAAAATGCAAAGGGTTAACCTTTGAGTCTGAACGCTGTAACCAAGAAAAGTGTCCAGGTAAAAGATTTCTCAATCTTTTCTTTTTCTTAGCATGTCAAGTGTTGCACCCAGAATCTCAAAGGTCAAACGAGGTGACGAGAAAGAGATGGAGGTCACTAGTCATCCTAGATTAGAATCCTTTTTCAGCCAAAGTTTCCCTCGAGAGGGCAATTTTGTATCTGTTTTAGTAGTATGTAAGGCTCAGCTGTATTGTTTTCGGTGCTTAGTGTTTCTGTTAATAAATCTGGTTTGAACATGCGGCCCCTACAGCATCAGATATCCATTGACTGCTCACTTCTCTTCTCTTCTCTTTTCAGCGGAGAATGTAAAATACCAGGTTAAGCTAAGAGGTGAAACATGGGAAAATTCTCTTGCGGAGCAAGGAAGTAAAAAATACGCGGAACTTGCGGATAGAATTAAAAAAGCTGTAAATATATAATTTTTATTATTTCTTTTCGTCCTTTTTTGATTGCAAATAAGTTGAATTTAATTTCGTCAGCTTTCGATTATATATGGCCCGGCAAAAATGTCTATATTATTTTCTCCTTTAGGTTAAGGACTTTTACCACAAGAGGAATGAAAATGTTGAAGTTGATGAGCTAAATTTCAAGTAAACCCTTTCTTTTAGATAAATAGTCTATTTTCATCTTTCACAGCAGTGCAATTAATCTCACAATGAATTTAAATGCACGTTGTTTAGGATCGTCAGAGTCCGTTTTTTAAAAAGGTTCGACTTTGCATATCTTAATCGAATCTATCGTTTGTTATAGGGGAGGAAGTGTAATTTGTAGTTTCAACGTCACCTACGATAGCATAGACTCGTTACAGATCGTCTCTTTCCTGGAGGAAATAGCAGGAGGATTACTGGGGGACATTCCAGTTGAGTTACGCGAGATCGAAACCAGTAACGGTATGCATAGCATAGCAAAGTTTATCAGCCAGAGTTAGTAAGAATTATCTGCGTCTGTGATAATGAATGACGCATGCTTAGATTTAGCGCGCATTTACTGGGGCAGCAACTATCGTTCGGTGATGACGTCGGCAATCTGTTACCGAACAGAACTATGGCAACATGGAATCTTCTTGTTTAATATAAGGAGGAAGCTAAAATTTGTTAAAGGGGACGCCATGTTTACGTCTGTCCTCTCATAAATCATAAGAACCAGTCCTCTTTTTTTTTCTTGGTTTCTTGTTTTTTTCTCCCAGTACCTCAACAAGCTCCTGTGGTTTTGGAACCCAAAAGCTCCAAATCGACAAGTATTGTCATAAAGTGGAGTAAAAATCATTCCGACCAAACTCTGGGTCACATGATCGTCTACAAAGAAGCTAACAAAAAGTTCACGACTAACACCACGAAGTCAGTTCCACTCGATACATCTGAGGCGATGCTGGAGGATTTGAAAAAATTCACAAATTATACCATCCGTGTGTTTGCCTTTTCGAGTAAAGGTAATGGGGTGCCAAGTGTTGCTTTTACTGTAAGAACTCAAGAAGATGGTAAGTTAAGAAAGATAAGACTACGAGGAACTTAAACATTTCTTTAAGATATTTTTTAATGAATGGGTTTGGTATCTGATAGAGACTAAGAGATCTGCTTATACGGCTATAGTTTGCTGAGAGTAGATATTCCTTGGTTTTTTTTTTCTCTTGGGTTGGTACACTATGATAGACCAACCATTGAAGGGTGTTGCGGACAAGAATACTCGTCCACACCATGACTCGAGTTGATATCGTAAATTGGCCACCCCAAAGAGTTTAAAAGTTGACGTTTCGACTGTCAGCTGTTCTTCAATGTGCTCTGACGAAGGGCTAACGATCAAAATTTCCGCTTTTATACTCTTCATGGTGGCCAATTTTCGTTATTAACTCAGTTGATAATACTTTATTACCCTGTTATACTCTCCCACCAACGCAGCACCACAGTTTCTTTGGAAACTTACCCTCTTCATTCACAGCATGACTTGCGATAAAGGTTAGAGCATTGAGATTCTAGACCTTTTTTTAATAAATGTGTAAGAACAGAGTTATGATTTGGAGGAAACCATAAATTACTAGTCTCGTAAGGAAGGGAAACAGAAGTCTGGATACCTCATGATGAAAAACGATTGGAAATAACGACACCCAAAAAGCTTAGGATATCCTTTTTGAGGTACAGGGACTGTGATAGACTCTTTAAATGATTTAGAATAGTCGAAAGTAGTAGTTCCATTGTAATCAATGTGGTATAGTCAATACAGTACAAAAGGTAATTATATTTCAAAGTTATAATGATATGTGTTTAAAATACCATATTTTTTAAACATGAAATACAAATTGTTTGCAGCGGTCATGAAACTGGGAAGGAAAGGCTTCCTGTCTAGAAGCCTGGTGAATTCAGAATGGGGGATGGGGGGAGGGGCTTGTTCTGGCCTCTTTACGTGATCATGTATCTATTGTGTCCTAGTGCCAAGTGAGCCACCCCCTGACATTGTTGTCAAATCAACAAGTTCAAGTACAATTCATGTGTCCTGGGGGCGGATCAGCCAAGCTTTCGTACACGGAATACTTATGGGGTACGAAGTTAGTTACACAAAGGATGACGAGTCACCAGCATGGGAAAACAAGACACTTGATGCCAACGCACATGAAACAGTTTTAAGTGACCTGGAATATTTTACACCGTACAAAGTTGTGATCTGCGCGAGGACATCTCAAGGATGTGGAAAAAATGTCTCTCGAAGTGCTACCACATTTGGTGATGGTGCGTTGAAGATTTTTTGATGGAAAATGTTATAGCTAAGAATCTATTCTCAATGTCTTGAGACTTTCAAACTCTCTTTAAAACGTTCGGTAGCCGGCGGAAACCTTTCGACCAAATTGGGGTTTACTTAGGTTACTTAAAGAAAAGAAGGTCACGGGGCCCAGTAAAAACTGTATTTATCTTATGGCCGACATACAGTCGGTGTGCGATGATCATTTACATTACTAAGAAAATCACTCATCTATGTATGTATCTTTCCATGCACTCTCGTGAGAGAAAACTCCCCAAGGGGCTTTTCACTCATTTAATCGCTTGCTAATCATCGTTTTTCTCTGGGTAGAAATTTTCAATTATTGTACTAACATGTTTTGCTTTTGCCTGTACTCTAGTACCCAGTAAGCCTCCACAAAACGTGACAGCTGAGAGATTAAAGGCTGCAGAATCCATCAA